GACTAAAGCTCGTTCCCATGTAGGAAGAGATTTCGATAGGTGTAGCATCGCTACTATACAACCGTTCATCGCACACCTCGCGACTACAGTATTGTATTTTAGCCCTTTAAGCGCCCTTTAACGCCCTCGCACGTATAATATACCTTTAATTTCTAACTGCTTTTTTATTGTACTCTAAACTATCTACCTAGGTAATTTCTACTGCTTACACACTAGCTATACATTAACATAATGTCGCCCTCACACCTCCTCACTCTCTAGGTGTAGCAATACTGCCTACCTGCTATAGAATCATCCTCGCGCGGATCAAAGCCTCTGAGATCGAGCGATCGGACGAGTTGTGGCTAATAACGAGATGAGGATACTGAGAATCGACCAGGACTTGCTTTGGCGCAGACAAGCGGCGTTACGGGTACAGCCTAGTAAGTAAGCTCCCGATAGCACCTCATGGTGAATGATTTACAATCGATCGTGATTACCGAATGCATGCTTGCACCTTCCCAATGCTTGCTCATATCCCCACTAATAGCCGGCCACTACACGAGTGCCATCGCAATGCAGCAGCGACTGTGGCCTTCAATACAAACAACTTCCTATCGTGCGCAAATACCAAGACAGAACGAGGCTTCTCAACACATCATGGAAGCTGCGTCGCAGACAATGTCCGTCATTCTTACCTCGTAGGGCGCAGGTGGCTGCAGAATAAGCCCGCCACCAGACCGCCGATACCCGAGGCGCAAAACCCAGTCATACCCGGGCTTCCGCCCACCACCAATTCCTGCGCCATCCGTTGTATCACCCTATCATCTATAACTTTTATCCCATTACCATGGACGACTCCGCTACTGGCACAGGCCAACAGGATGCCAATTCGGCGTCCGCAAGCAAAAAGCGGACCCACCCCGAGGACTTCAAGCGTGCATATAAGGCTTGCATCAACTGTCGTCAACGCAAGGCAAAATGCATCCTGGGTACGGGGCCAGATGGTGGTGAACTAAAGCCACCATGTCAGCGATGCAAGCGGGAGATGCGCGAGTGTGTGTTTCGCTCCGAGAGAAGCTGGGTTAAGAGACGTAAACCGGGGGAAGCGGCGCGCGAGGGCGAGGAAGACGACGAGGCTGTTCATGATCGCCCTCAGTCAAATCCTGCGCCAAACGTGCAGCCCTCGCCAGCTCATAGGTCGTCCATATCGACGCATGGTTTCACGCCGGGGACTAGTCCGCATGTCAACGGCACGAATCGCGCTGAGTTTCAGTCACCTCATGGGCACCTTCGCAGGATCTCGTCGAGCCAGCCGGATCTTGCGCATTCGGTTATGCGGACCGTGGTGTCGAGTGGGAGCGATGCGTTGAATCTGCTTTTTGAAGCTGCGCATCATCGCGATGCTATCGACAGCCAGGAACAGTCGGGCTCGCAAGCCTATGAGACTCCTAGGTCGGGGCCATCGGGCTATGAGGGTGTTCCGTCGTCGCCGTTCCATACCTTCAGAGCGCAGCCGGTGCAGATGTCGACGCCGTCACCAGAGACGCTGAAGACGTGGACATCGTGTCGGTTCGTGCAGATGGGCTGGTTCTCCGCGCATGAGGCGGTCACCTACGTTGATCTATTCTTCAAGAACTGCTCGCCGTTGTCGCCAATACTGGGAGAGTTTTACTCTCATCATGAGAATCACTACACGCTGATTGCGCTGGATCCATTCTTGTGCACTACCATACTTATGATTTCATCTAGGTACAACATTCTTCCTGGTGTAGGCGGCGCATCCAGAGGTTACTTTGTGCATGATCGGCTTTGGGAGCAGTGCCAGCGCTTCATAATGAAGATCATGCTCGGGCAGGTCAAGCCTTCGAAAGCGCAGAGTCGGACCATCGGATCTATAGAGGCGCTTCTGTTGCTATCCGAATGGCATCCTCGCGCGCTGCATTTTCCCACTGCTGCTGATGGCTGGGACTGCGAGCTCATGATCGGCGCGAACAACACCACGGAAGAAGGCGCGAAGCTGTTGGAAGGAGATGTAACATCCAACCGATGGCTTGAGGATGTGATTGAGCCCGCAAAGCGTTCTGACCGTATGTCATGGATGTTGATGGGCTGCGCGCTGTCACTAGCACAAGAGCTGGGTCTCTTCGAAGACAACGCTAGGATCGACAAGGACCAAGTCTCTTATCCAAAGTTTACAACGGAGTACCTCATCTTACGAAGGATCAGAGCTCGGAAGCTACTATATGTTCTGCTCGAACAGCTCTCATGGAGGCTCGGTTGCACATCGATGATCCCGCAGAGTCTTAATCATGCTCTGATGGAGAAGATACCGGTCGACTCTGCGACTGGTGCGGTCGAGCAATGGCAGTCCTTCATGAGCGCCTGGGTCGAACTCACCAAGCTCGCGCGCTCAATCTCAGACACCATCTACCCAAACACCGCCACGACGCGAAGCTTACTACGCACCGGTCGCTACATTGGGCTGCTCGAACACTTCCAGCCACTGCTCGTATCATGGCGGAAGAAGTACCTCGACCCATGCAAGCTCAAAGTCGGCCTCCACGATATGCTCCACATCGAATACCAATATGTCCGCATCTACACCAATTCGCTTGGCATGCAAGCTGTCGTTGAGCGTACACTCGCTGAAACAGATCCCGATGTTCCGCAGGAGGACAACCTTCCGTTCAACCTCGAGCCGCGAGATTACGATTTCATTCAAGAAGTCGTCGACGGAAGTTGTCAGATCTTGCAAAAGGTTTGCCAGCTTTCTGAAACCGGGGCGCTACGGTACTCGCCTGTCAGGATCTTCTTGCGGATAACGACCAGCTCGATCTACCTGATCAAAGGACTGAGTTTGGGAAGCCGGAATGCGAAGTTGCAGAGCTGTCTGGATATTCTGGATGCGGCGATTAGAGCTCTGAGGGCGAGTAAGTCTACCCTTTCGAGAACGCACACTTCGGTCTTCGTTCACTAACACGGCATCTTAGGTACCCTCGACGACATGCACCTCGCATCCCGCTACGCCACCCTCCTCGACCTGCACGTCGCCCGTCTCCGCGAATCCTTCGTCGTGTCCTCACGTCCACCCCGCCTGCCCTCGCGCGCAACATCCACACCACATAACACGTCCCACAACACCTCACACGCCGCCTCCGCCTCCGCAACAGAAGGCATGGCTTTCCTGAATAACCACAACGCGGGCCAGTCTAGTTTGTCCAGCTTAGCGGAGAATGTAACGGGGCTTATGCCCGATATGCCAGACGACGATTGGTTGGCGTTGCCTTTTGATCCGGCTATGGCGCCGTTTGGACTGGATGGGGGGCTGCAGGGGGGGTTTCAGGGGTTTGATGATGGGACGTTGGATTTTATTTGGAATTTGCCTATGTAAGGTGATGGACAAGATGGATGTGATTATGACACGGGAAACGGTACAAGTCTAGCGACTACACGCTTCTGGCGTATTGGGTTTTGCTCCTCAAAGAGATGGGTAATAATGGAAAGTTCCAACCCAGGTTTTAGACAACGTTGTCATAAACAAAAACACATTGAAGCAAACCCTACACCCAGAACGCAGATATAAGAGTATGCGCCCGTGTCGCTTATTTTCTTTCCAACCATCACCACGAAGTCACTTTTCCATCACACAGCCAAGTCAGGCGTATCCATCTTCACAGAAATCCCTTGCCCAATATGCCAGCAACGTTCACCGACCTGCTCTCAGCATTCATCGCAATCATCATAACAATCCTTGCTACTATCGCTGTCCAAGCGCACGTCGACGGCAACTCAAACGCGATCATCATGCAGAAAGTCAAGACCGCCCTCGTTGTCCTCCTGCCGAACCTTGCCGTTCTCCTCATGGTTTGCTATCTCGTCCCGGGAGTCCTGCGGTAGGATGGCTAGCTTGGAATGCGCACGGTATCGGTAGGCTCGCTGTAAGAGGGAGTGGTGATATGGGGAGAGGGATTTACTGCAGGCTATGGTGAGCTAGGTGCTTTTATGAAAGGGAAGGGCAGGAGGGTTTGTGAGTTAGGCGGCTGGAGACGCGATATTGTGTACACTGTTTGGTCTTGCAGTGCTGATAACTAGGAACATGTTGCGGATATAGTAATCGAAGTAAATATGACTGTAGTATATCGTATCCGGTTGATGAACAAGGTACATGTGAACATGACATGGAGGACTATACATCAGCCGACTCTCTCTAGAGATTCTTCTCGCTCTTTCCCGAAGAGAGTGTGCTGGCAAGAGGCGGAAAAGAGAACAAGAAATACATCATTTATATTGCTACTTTCCCGTGGATTCTGTTCCAACGGGTATCAAGCTCTGAGCAGCAAACCTGAGACCAAGTGGATATATCAATACCATCGATGCACCATCAAATACTAGAGCACCAATCAGTAAGAAACCATGTTGTCATACCATGCGCTCGATACTTTCATCTTGGGGCTATTTGTCTCAGGTCTCATCGTCCTGCATGTTCCCAAATCGTTCAAAATTACATGCCTTGCCTCATACCTAGCCACCCACCACATGAATTTCAACCAACACACGTGTCCTCGAAGCTCCGAGCTCCAAGCATGCAAAGAGAGAATTCCTCACTGTCTAGCGCAAATATGTAAAGACGATGTTCCACAGTGCGTCGCGCAAATGGAGAATATAGTGGAAGCATGGCACGGATGGGACAGACCAGCGGATCCAAGAGGTTACATGCAGGATTGCGAGGACGAATGTACGAGTCCATGGCTTGGTAACACGAACTAACGGGGAATTGGGGGGATGTGAGCGGCTGCCTATGACGGAGACGGGAGGTCATTACGAGAGTGAAGGGTACCGATGGGGATGTAAAATATATGCAATGTTTGGTCTTGCTGGGTCAATCACAACAAGCAAACTGCGGTGCCAGGAACTAGAGTAGGATTTACCGCAGTGTACCATCTTTGCCCCGCATATTTCCACCGGACTTTTCTTGTCTTGTTGAGAACTCTTGCTGCCCATATCGTATCGACCTCACATCAGGACACACCATCCCAGCCTGCCCTTAGTCTCTTGAGAATCATCTTGAGTCCCTGAATTGCTGCTGTCGCTTTCCACACTGACATCGCCAATTTCACCGTCAATGTCGAAGAAGCGGGATTGCTTCTCGTCCTTCTCACCCAAATCCACATCGTCCTTTAGTAAATCGATATCGAACCATTCCATTCCTTCATTGTCGCGTTGTTCCACATCCCCGGATATGGTCTTTCGGCGCGCGTGTCCCTCGGCTCTTTTCCTTCCGCCAAACATCGCGATATATATCGATAGCACTGCGCATACCATGCATACCACGCACAGTAAGATGTAGCGTTTTAATTCCGCAGTCGCGTCGAGATCTTCCTTTTCGCTGACGCAGGTAGTTTTGTCGAGTGGAAGCATGTGGATTCCTTCTACTACGAAGTAGACGAGAAAGAGCGGTGCCATGCAAATAACGAACATGGCTATGATAGTTTGGAGAGACATTATGAATATTTAAGAATGATATACTGTATTGTATGGCAATGACAGGGGAATGATAGAACGTTGGGTATGCAGACAGAGCCTTATCGGCGGGCGAAGATGTGTCGTTTAAGATTCGCGAGAACCGCGCCGCATCACATACACAGATAAGATCGATGTTTGCTGCCAGAAACATGTCCCGGGCGCTTGCTGATAGCCTAGCGCCTCAATTCGAAAGAGGCTAGCTTCTGTTCAAGAGCGGCTAGGATAGGTTAATGGATCGTATCTCTTCTACTAGCAAACCACAACATGTGGCGTAGCGAGTGCGACACGCAGTGGTCTGGTGTAGTTATTCCTATCAACCCGACGCATTCATACCCATCTCCTCTCTCAGCGCATCCCTCACAATAACCCCACACATCTTCTTATACGGATTCGTCCTAACACTCATCTCCCTCGCCACTTCATCGCCATACCGTGCCGCTGCCGCAAAATCTTTACTCGCCTGCTCTTCCAACTCCGATTTCGTCAAACCATATAACCGTACTTCTGATTCCACAGCTTTAAGATACAGATACGCGCGGTGCGAATATGCTGTCCGTAGGATCTTGGCGGCATGCGGCGACACGGCTGGTGTTGATGTGGAAGCTGTAGAGGAAAGCTTGATCGCTTGCGCGAGATCAGAGAACACGGCCTCAGTGTCTGACTCCTCTGTCTCGGTCGTAGTTGCGAAAATGGTCTTCCCTTCTTCCAAAGCAACTTCTAGCTTCATCCGCTGTACCATGGCACGGTTCACCCACGCACCCGCATACGCCGGCCACTGCTCTACCACCGCATTCAGCTCTTCGATCGCAGAGTCTATGTCGCTAACGCTTGATGTGCTGGATATGCGGCCTATGATTTCGCTTTGTTGGCGCTCGAGTGCGGTGAGCTGTGTGTCTGGAATGATGGGATGGGCGGGTAGTGATGGGTCGATTGAGGAGGATATGTCTTTTTGTTGGCCGACGGAGGAAGGAAGGGTTTCTGGGTCGAAAAGTGCGTTGAGTATGCGTGCGTCGTTTGCGGATAGGGACGTGTTGGGGAGGGTGACTGCCATGGTTGTGTTGGGGTTGGTCGTGGAATGGATGGCTTTCTTGAAGCAGTGGTTTGGCTACGTCTGAACAGGAATCCTTTTTGAAGGTGGTTGAATAAGGTTGGCATATGTACTCAGCGAAGGAAAAAGGCAAGTTCTTTCATGTGAATGTCATTTGGGCCATCGCGATGTTGCATGTCACGTTCTTTCACTCGGCTTAAGCTGCGGAATTCCACGGCAAAGTTCAGGTAGGCTGCGGAAGGCGGCTCGCGCGAGGCTGTCTGGCTCGGCCTATGCGCGGATGGACGTGAACACCATCTCATGATTCTCCATGTCCATGTTAAATTTTTTAGCTATGAATAAGCTCAATTTTAGAGCTGCTAAAGCGCATCAAGTCAGATGGAAAATAATTATAGTTTACTTGGTGGTGGTGGAGTCGCATGGTTGTAAATTCAGTGAGGGCAGCCTCGCCAGGGAATTGCCGGCTGGCCCGCAAAGCCGCAACAACAAGGCGACCGACCAACACTCTTCCTACACGCAACATCGTACATCACAACCACACAGCCTCGTCTCCAGGGTATGCGCAACTAGTCGCAAGCATCGTAATCGCGATCTGACGCAAATCGCTCGCCGAGAGCTTGCTACAACCACGCGACTGCGACGCGTCGTTCTTACGGCGGATGCAGGCGGATCATTCATTGGCGGAAAGCGGCGGACAACGCTTGCTTTCTTCTGGCGGCCAGTGCACGTGAGCTCGGCATAACCAAGTAAATGACGCTACCTGGATTGAATATGGTAATTGCTAGGAAGAATGATCGGATATCGGTTCGAGAAGGGAAGTGGATGCAGAACGGTAGAAGATAAAGAATGGCTGCGCATCGGTGCCTAGTGGGCAGTTCACTACACTTCGCAACACTGCTTTATTACTTCCTAGCCAGAGATCTGAGTACTTTTAACTATACCTGAGTTACTCAACTGTACATCTCTGCTTTCAAATCACTTTCACAATGGCGCCCGCTGCTATCTCCCCACCGGCATCGCCACGACAATCCGCTGCCACCCCTTCCGATGTCTCTTCATACCAAGGCTACCACCATGTGCACTGGTATGTCGGTAACGCCAAACAAGCAGCTTCGTTCTACGTATCACGTATGGGCTTCGAGCGTGTTGCATACCGCGGACTGGAGACTGGATCAAGAACGACCGCATCCCATGTCATCCGGAACGGCAAGGTGACCTTCATCCTCACATCGCCCTTGAGGTGCCTAGAGCAGGGCTCAAGATTCAGCAAAGAAGATGAGCAGCTTCTGCGAGAGATCCATGAGCACCAAGAGCGCCATGGTGATGCCGTCAAAGGTAGGATAGCATCACATATAGTCGTTCGGCATCCTTACTGACTTATCAACCCAGATGTCGCTTTCGAAGTCGACAACGTAGATGCCATATACTCCGCGGCCGTCTCATCAGGCGCCGCCACCATCTCAGCCCCCCACGACATCTCCGACAGCCACGGCACCGTCCGCCTCGCCACCATCCGCACATACGGCGACACAACGCACACGCTCATCCAAAAGAACAACTACGCCGGCATCTTCCTCCCCGGCTACCGCCCCGAATCCACATCCGCCGACCCCCTCCAAAAGTACCTACCCCAAGTCAAACTCGAAGCCATCGACCACTGCGTCGGCAACCAAGACTGGGACGAGATGGAAAGCGCATGCGAATACTACGAGAAGGTGCTTGGTTTCCACCGCTTCTGGAGTGTCGACGACAAGGATATTTGCACTGAGTACTCGGCGCTCAAGAGTATTGTCATGAGCTCGCCGAATGATGTGGTCAAGATGCCCATCAATGAGCCTGCGAAGGGCAAGAAGCAGAGCCAGATTGAGGAGTACGTTGACTTTTACGGTGGTCCTGGTGTTCAGCATATTGCGCTACGCACTGATAATATCGTTCGCGATATTACCAACCTGAAAGCGAGGGGCGTGGAGTTCATCAAGGTGCCCGAGACGTACTACGATTCTATGAAGATGCGGCTCAAGAAGTCGGGACTCAAGCTTAACGAGGACTTTGAGGTGTTGAAGAGCTTGGATATCCTGATTGACTTTGATGAGGGTGGTTACCTGTTGCAGCTGTTCACAAAGCATCTGATGGATCGGCCGACGGTGTTTATTGAGATTATTCAGAGGAACAACTTTGATGGGTTTGGCGCGGGTAACTTCAAGAGTCTGTTCGAAGCAATCGAGCGGGAGCAGGACGCTCGGGGAAATCTGGTTTGAGCGGCGCGTTATGTCGATGGTGGGTGGTAGCATTTCCTGGCGTTCATCTCGTTACTAGCGATGCGGTCGCTGGCCGTTCTTCGGACTCTTAGCACATTCTCAGTCAAATACGTACCATATTTCACATCGCAAAGTTCCGTCGCCCTTACTAACCCACGCTGACTCATATCGCCCACCCCGTCTCACCCTGCAACGCCACGCGCCCCAACGTCTCGAGACGCGTTTCACCCCCTGCCCCCCATCGTCGTCAACACCACCACGCATCGAAACGCACATCCACGCATATCACACCGCAGCCAAGCATATCCGCCATCGAAAATCTCGCCGAAAGCGCGCTTGCCCAGTGCAGCTCACACCTTGCCGCGACGTCTTGACCCAGCCAAGCCACACCCGCATTACAGGGCGAGCAAACCGCCAACAACGCCATTGCAAATCCCGTGACAAACATACCTTCGGTCTTTGCGGATTCCGGTCGCGGATGCGCTTTTTGCTGCTTCGGCAAGTGCATTTCTTACTTGCATGATTAGTATGCTGAGGCCGTGGAATCCGTGGAGATTGCGTATAAAGCGATAGGTCATCGCACTGTTGTAGGGCACAATGAGAGTAGCGCCGACTTCTGCTTTCTGAAGCCGACGGCGAAGCTCTGCCGGATTCTTGGCTTTCGAAAGGAACCTCTGCTTCGACACTCTTTTCTTCGCCAGAGGCGGACCGCTGCCGATTCGGCTCGTCGCGAGCACATGCGCATAGAAGTCGCCGCGCCCTTTGTCCCTGGATCCGGTTCTTGGGCGAGATCAGCGAAGTCAGCGAGAGGACGTCACAAGATTTGTTGGGCGTACTTCTCGTGAAAGTCACCCTATGGGTTTTAGCGCGAACCTGATCACCATGGATCGCATGCACGCAAGATCTCTCTAGCTTAGCGCTTTATTAGAGTCATGAATTCGTGATATCTATAGTCTAGCCACACATTGGGATCTACAGACAAAGATACAGTGAAAGTTGAGACATGAGGATGATAGGCAACGGGTGAACATGACATTATGCACTAAAAAGAAGAGATGACCACGTAAAGAATGAACGGCTGCCCCATTTAAGTAATTCTTGTTTCAGTTTAAACATGTGCCGTCATATACGTTATGACGCCTAGTGTTGTTCCCATACTCGTACAGTTGATCGTTCTGCCAGGCTGTTGTAGCAGATCTTGTCTAGACATGAAGGAAAAGCGTCGCGCGTAGTGCAGAAGAGCTTGGCGACGCTGGAGGTCAATGGGCACTGCGAAAGAGTAACCCATGACAAGCGCGCTTAGGCGAAGGCTCCGACAATAGACATACCAGCTGCGCCCATAAGGACGTAGATGAATGCATATGTCTTGGTGCTGCCGGTCATTGTGTGCTGAGCCTCCTCGGAGAGGAAGTCCTCGGCCAACAAATCGACGAGCGCAGCGTAGATCAGAAGACCGGACG